ATTGGTGGATCTGATCCTGCAATTGGCGGATCACGATCACATGGGAACGCAAAAGGTGGATCTGATCCGGCAATTTGACCTGTCAACATCCGTCCGTGCACGAGTGGCGTGAAACTTTTGCGGTCTGATGAACAAAGAAATATGTTTTTTGGCATGTAGCTCATGTGAAATTTTTAACGGACACAGCATGCACAATAAACAACTGCTGAACTACGGGCTAGCAAAATGTATCACCACACATGCGCAATGCATGCATGCCGCGATGCGTGCCTTGCCCTTTCACAATTTTCGTTGTGCATTCGTCTGTTTCTTAACCTTTTTCATTTGTGTTATTTCTTGCTTTCCATCAAAAACTAATTCCATGTTAGCGTATAGCCCGCAGCATGTGACAGAGTATCAAAAACAGAAGCAAAGTTTGAAGAGACAACGTACGAGGCTGAACATTCGGTCCAATTCAAGTTCGTCACGTCAATAGAACTCCGCACCCAAAACACTTCAGGGTCACAGGCATGCCGCCCCAGCACGCCACACTGCCACAGAGCGCGCGCTTAGCAAGCTAGCATATGCACAATACCGAACTCAGTGACCTTTCGGGCTCAACATTCCCGTCTGAAAAGGTGGATCAAGCGCTAGTGGAAACGCGACTTGCGGTTTCGTTGCGGTAAGATAACGATCACACCAAAATGCTGGATCATGATCCACCTTTTCCCCATTCAAGTGGGAACGCGCTGTTAGACACCAATGGGATTATCCACATCAACATCAGAGTGTGCCCCCAGCTGCTGGAGCATATGGTGCATGACAATTCCTACTAGGGTTAAATCAGAATGCTGTTTAAGCCAATTAACACCTTTTAACACTTGAGATCACTGGAAAGGCTTACAGAATAAGGATACCTGAACTAAGCAGGGTTCTGATGAGTTGATTTTAAACCTCTTATTTTCCATCAAACGGAAGCTTGAATTGGTTCATTGGTTAATGTCACAGAAATAAGATCAGCACCTTGTTACAAATTGACTGAGATAAATTACACAAGTTCAACCCCCCAAAAAAATTTTCTGAGACAAACTTTAATTATTAAACTCTGAAAAAGGACAATTCAAACAAGCATTGCCCTCCAAAATGAACGTCAGTCCCCTCAATTTTAGAACCACGTGTACCTGAACTGGTACATGTACACAGAAATTTCAAAGAAGCTCATGTAAACAAACAAAACAATCATTTGATAATTTAGGATTTGAATTGAGTGATTGCATTTGCTGGAAAGATAAACTGTGTGAAATTTTCCACTGGACAGAAACCAAAATAATCAGTTGCGTTTTGCATGTGAAAATATCTCCGCAGTGTACACAAAATGAACTTGAAATGAAATTTTAAGTATGAGTAGAAAAGACTGTCAGCTTTAATTCAGTTACCCCAAAAAACTAAAGTGTGACAGTTATTTGTGTAGAAAATAAATATTACTTTTGCTACATGTAGGTTACTTTTTTTAGAGGGGAACCCTGTACATGCAGATGACTTGTGACATGAGTGCATTTATAATTCTTAGTGCATTCACAGTTGTAGGGTACACTGTAGGTACTGAATGGTTCAGAGAAGTAATTTGCCATTTAAAATATTATGTAACCATGCAGTGACCCAAATTGTATAAATGTAAAATTTGCATTTTTAGTACGGTGTACATACCAGCAACACGTACGATGATGACCTCAAGATGATGGCTTCACCTCTATGGTTGCAGAGAACCAGTTTTGAACTAAGAACAAAGGAGCTGAATTGGTACTGGTATTATGTGAACGTTCGGTTGTTGAAACAGGAAGCAAATGAGCTGTTGTCTGATATTATAATGATGTGCAATATGGCTTTTGTTGGTTTTGAAACTCACTGGAGATAATGTTACCAAAACCAGGAACTCTGCCAGCTCAGTGGGGCTGAATCATTAATTTCCTGCTGCCAAGTAAGGCATTACTACCCTGTTGGAAAACTTTGGAGGTTGAAGTCACACAAGCAACTGGTGCATATGCATATCACCTGTAGGCACATCATGCTTGTTTTTCTTACTCTCAGGGGGTACACGTCGACGAGTGGCCCCATCTTTCGGTGCAGCTTTAGGAGCCGTAAGTCTTCACAACCACTTGCTGATCTTAGAATTTGTGGCAAATTGCAAGAGCCATAACTGAGGAAAAGTTTTATCATGCACTTATTATAGACGGTATGTTTTGGAGAGCAACATACGTGTATCAGTGGAAGGCTAGGGTGTGGTTCACTGTGGAAAGTTTATTCCTTTGGTGTCAAGACTATTGGAGGAACTCTTGACTTGTTTTTCTTATGGAATCCAGCAAAATGGCTGACATTGATAATGTGCTGGTCTGTCAGGCAAGTGTACAGATGAGGACTTCGAAATCTCCTTCGTCGATTCATCAAAGGCGGGCAAGTTCTCAGAAAGGTTTTCTGAGGTCAGCCACATGCGAAGACTGTGACTTGGAGTTGGAGGCCTGCGTACGTACCGGTACATGTATATATGCAACACATGCACGTTCCATGGGTGGTAGGAAATTTATAATTAGTTTGTAAAGCTGTCCATGTTTTTTTTTATGGAGTGACTCACTGAGCAAGGTGGTTATGTTTATGGACTGACTTTCTTTTTTCATTGATGCACATTACATGTACCATACATGTACATGTACGTACATTACACGTAAATGTACATGCTTGAAACATGTAACATTTATCACAACGAGGAAACGCAATTGCCGGTAGACATGGTAGAATGATTGTTTTGTAAACAGTGCATTGTGTCACTACCAAGGTAAGGGGGAGGAGTTCAAATCCTCCTGCTTCTTGGCATTTTTTTATGTAATTTGTTTTTCTCAAGCCCTGAAACTAAATCAACGTTGTTCTTTAAAGGTTTCATGTAATGATTTCCATCTTATTAAGACACACCTTTGTACACCGTTCTGATCCCTTTTCAGTGTTTGGAAACTACATGTGTTTGACATCTCTTTTCGCTTAAGATGCTTAGAACACTTGTTAACGTTAAAAAACATTTTCCTTGCTTTTGCAGACAAGTGAGGCTGTTGTTGCTATGATGTCATTTCAGGAAGACATTGTTCATTATCATTGGATTTCTTCTCAAATTATGAGCCCAGATTTACTGAGAATATTTATAAAAGATTGTTACTGGCCTGCAGTTAAACTAATTTAAGAAAATAAGCAATAAAAGTTGCCCCCAAATTTCAGGCAGCCAAATATCTAAAAATTTGGGCAAGTTGTCATATTTCCAAGAATGATATCACACATACTGTACTTTTACTCATAAATATGCAAATTTGCATCCGTTTAAAAGACCTCAAATGCTGTAAAATATCCTTTCAAATTTGGGCAAAACAAAACCTGGGTCAATGGGTCACAAAAATGCATTATTAAGGGTTAATTTTAACATAACATG